CATTTCGAGTGAAAGTGTTGGGTGAAGAGATTCAAAGGTCGGTTGCACCAGAAGACGACGGCAAATTCCTCTTGACCAGCTGTTGACTGGCTTTACTGGAAGATTCATGTTGAGGCTGTTTCCGAGGCAATCTCCTTCGATTCCGGTAAAAGGTGCTTAGCTTTCGTACCGTCATATGAAGGATATCATCAGTGCGAGGTAACATCGTCACAACAAAATTCAAGTTAAATAATCAAGAAAACTCACCGGCAAATCCCTATAAAGTGATATATATATATACTCTACATCTGGCCTCTTTGATCAAGTATAAAGTGATTTGGTTATTTAAGGTCATTTGCCAACTTTGATGCACATACAAATACAGAGACAGACACACTCACATGCATTGAAGTTGACATATGACCTTAACTAACCAAATCACTTTATACTTGAACAAAGAGGCCAGATGTAGAGTATATATACCACTTTTTAGGGCTTTGCTGTTTTCTTGACTCGTTAGCTTGAATTTTGTTGTGACGATGTTACCTCGCTCTGATGATGTCCGTCATATGACAGACGAAAGCTTAGCACCTTTTCACCTTATTCGAAGGAGATTGTCTCGGAAACAGCGTTAGCATGAATCTTTCAGTAAAGCCAATCGACAGCTGGTCAACAGGAATCCGCCATCGTATTCTGATGGAACCGACCTTCGAATCTCTTCACTCAACACTCACTCGAAATGGAAGTAAGCTCAACAATTATGTTATTAACCCCAAGATAGATTACGAAACTGTAACGAGATTTTACAGTTCATCTCACCTTTCGAAGCACGCTGACAAATCCGGGGTAGTTCCCGCACTCCGCCATGAAGATTTCTTTACTCGAACGCCAACGCATTACGAGATCAAGTGTGGTGCAGAGGAAACGACCGTATCTATGAGCTTCGTCCTCGGTACACATACTTGTGGGAAGAGTAATGTCGTTAAAAATCTGAGAAAATGAATTATCATGAAGGTGAAATAAATTAGATCAAAAAAATAATAAAATAAGTATGTAAAAAATACGATAGGTTACTAAATAGCAATTCACAAATAAATTGAAAAAATGTGACAGATCAAGAACTTTTAAAAATTAAAAGCTCTAGAAAATAAGTCACTAGTTACTAAAAAACGCGCGAAAAATCGGGCTTATAAATAAGTAAGTAAAGCAAGTTTTATATATATATACATATATATATATATATATATATATATACCAAAGAAAAGTTCATGGTTAAGGCAAAACCTTACAGAGAGGATAGAAAGCTAAAAATTAAAATAATTGAATAAAGGTAAGAATAAAATAGCATTGCTCGGATGATATGAAACAAACATCTATAAATCAGAATAAACAAATTTTGAGGAAAAAAAATTCGGAAACTCAAAATTCTTCAGTTTAATCGTCTCAAAGATAAAGAGTGGCATAGGGGTATGAAAGTGTTGTAGTTATTTTGTAGGATTCAGGTTGATCGCAATAGATTAACAGATTTAGAAATACAAATTAATATCAATACATACAGACAAAAAAACATACACAAAGGAATGTCATATTGAGAATATAATTGATGTTAAAAGAAGATATTTAGATAATATCTGTCTCTGCTCATAATGCATCGAGCTTTTTTAAATAACTTTTAATGAGCGTTTAAGTAATATCTGTCGTTCATATAGATTTTAGATTTAACTAGACATTCCAAATGTAGACGCAGTCCACGTT